CCGAGGCTCGGCCGCCGCTGCACCGTGGGAGCCGTGAGAGGGGCGCGGGGGCCGGCGGGCACTGTCTGGGGACCCGGCATTGCTGGGGTGACCGGGGGAGGGGTGTTGGTCCCTTGTCCCATCTCGTCCTGCCAGCGCAGGCATGAGGGCATCCGCCTGCCCTGCCTTCCGCGAGGACTGAGGGGATCGATCTATCCCCGCAAACACACTGAGGAGGATAAAGGCTGAGGAGGAGGGACTTAGGAAGCTTCACGGTGATGCTGGTCCCAGAACGGAGCATCCCTCAGGTGTAGGAGAGTAGAGCAGCCCTGTTGGACGGGACCACTCCACAGCCGCTGCCTGTGGAGTGGTTTGGGGCTTGGCGCGGGGATATCTGGGTGGGCAGAGGGGCAGAGTTCCCAGAGTCCCCAAGGACTTGGCACCCATTGTGTGTACTTCAGCAAGAGTCAGGGCTGCAAGCATCCAGGTTTCAGCCCATCAGGGTGGGGAGTCTCAGCCCCTGTGACAGGGAGAGGGCACTGGGTTGGCTGAACAGTGGCTGGATGGGAGGGGCCTTGGGAAAGGGGGATGCCTGAGCATCCCTGGGGTGCCCTGGCAGGGTGTTGGGGCTTGGGGCAGGAGGGATGCAGTACCCCCAGCCCATGTCCTAGTCTGACAGGGGCAGCCCTGTCTCCTGGCCAGCACAGGATGAGGGAGCCCAGCTCAGCCCAGCCCAGCCCAGGGAACCCTCCTGTGGTGTCAGAGGCTGTTGGGAGTCCCGACCAGGCACGTTGCCAAGACAAAGCACCCCAACACGTTCCCTCGGCTGGGCGGCCGTGGGGCCTGGCAGGCAGAGCAGCCCTGGGCTGTTGCACGGGGCTCACTCTGCTTATCTGTGTGCCTGGGCTGGGCTCCCCTCCACAGCCCTCGCAGAAGCTGCTGGACCAGCCCCACTGGCAGCTGCAGGCTGGCGGGGGATCTCCCAGGGACTCCCCCACCTCAGGCTCTGCTTCTGCCCCATCCTGCTCGGGACCCCTCTGGTGGCTGAGGGTGTGAGACTGGGGGCACTGGGAGCTGTCTCTGGGCAGGCACTGGCCAAGCACTTGCAAGCAAATCACGGCAGAGCCGGCCAGGGCGCTGGGGACAGCAGCGGGGGGTTATTTTTAGAAAAGCACAAGTCCTTTCTTATAAATAGCATCAGCTCCAGACTGTGATCCAGCAGGACAGATTCACAGCTCTTCTCCTCCACTGCTGCTCATCAGTGGCTTCACTGGGCCCGGCCCTGCAGATGCTGGCAATGCCGGGGGATTGGTGCCTGGTGAAAGCCCCTGCCCAGGGGCTGCAGCCCCCCACAGTGTGTGCCGCCACCAACCAGAGCCTCTGCGTGTCCTCCCTCCCTGTCCAGCCGGGGCAGCCCCTGCAGTGGTGCCCGTGGGCAGATCCTGCTGTGGCTCCTGCCCTGCCCCCTGCCCGGCCCGCTTTGCTCCCCCTGGAGATTCCTTCTCCCCTTTCCACTGTGCTGTGTGCCTGGTGGGCAGCAGGGCAGGCAGCAGCACTCCGGGCTGGCTGGTGTGGGGCAGTGCAGGAATCCAAAGCCCTGATGATGCTCTGGGTGTTTCCCATGCCAGAGCCTCTGGTCTGACCACATGCCTTTCCCATTAGCGGCCGTGCTGGGGCTCGGCGGTCGGGCACACACACGCCAGCCCAGCTGTGGCTTCACAGCCTGGCTGCAGCCACCTCCTGGGCTCATCCCCATGTCCTGCAGCACTGCTGCATCCTCCAGCCCACAGTACTGGGCACAGAGCTGTGTATGCTCACTTTTGCCAGCTGGGCAGTCAGCACCAGCATCCTCGGGCAGCACCGTTCCAGCCCCATTCCTGCCCCCTCACGCCTCTGCCCACGTGCCTCCATCCACCATAACACAGGGTGCGCCCTGTGTGTGCCACCCCCGTGCACACTTTGCCCCTCCAAGGGCTGTGCCAGCCTCGATGCCCTGCATGTGTCAGGGGGGCAGGTCGTGTCCCTGAGGCACTACAGGCCTGTTGGGGACGGATGGGTTTGCAGAGCTGCCAATGAGGGGAGGACACACACGAGGTCGGCACTGGGCAAGTGGAGGTTGTGCTTGGCATTGCTCCCATACAGCCCAGCTCCTGGGAAGCAGCTGGACTCTGGGGAGGAGAGGAGTAAAGATCAAACCCTCTCTGGATCAGAAGTTCCCCCTCCCACTCCCAGCTTGGGCCGCAGCTCTTGTTCCCACTGTCCCTCTGGCTGCTCCTGCTGTGGGCAAGGATCAGCAACCCCATCCCTCTGGGGGGACACTGTGGCCACAGACCCAGGATCCCTGGCTCATGCTGGGCCTCCCTGTCCCACAGCCGTCGTGGAGATCCGGTCGGTGCGTGTCGGCGTCGTGGCCATCCGGGCGGTGCACACCGGCTTCTACCTGGCCATGAACAAGCGGGGGAGGCTCTACGGGTCGGTAGGTCGGACGCTGCCTCCTGGGAGGGACTGCACTGGGGTCAGAGGTGCAGGACAGAATTGCAACAGGGGGTCCCAGACCTGCTGGGACTGGTGCCCAGGAGCAGGGTTCTGGTTTTCCATGCCCTGACATGCTCCCCAGCAGGGACCGAGCCCTCTGACCCCTGGGGACAGGTCCTGCCCGGCCCCACCTGGGGTCCGAGGGACCCCAGCCAAGCACAGCCACCCTTCACCCCCTTCCCTCTCCTGCCAGAAGGAGTTCAGCCCCAACTGCAAGTTCACAGAGCGCATCGAGGAGAACGGCTACAACACCTACGCGTCGCTGCGCTGGCGGCACTGCGGCCGCCCCATGTTCCTCTCCCTCAACAGCAAGGGCAGGCCACAGCGAGGGGGCAAGACACGCCGGCAGCACCTCTCCACACACTTTCTCCCCATGCTTGTTGGCTGAGCACCACGAGCAGCTCCGGACAGTCCTGTAGGAAAAAAACCAAGAAAGGATTCTTTTATTTATGTACATATCTATTTTTTGCTATTTATTGCTTTGTTTTTAATGCATGGTGGAGGATGGATGCAGAAGGCAGATGCTCCAGACTTGGCTTTGCAGGGCTGGGGCTGTCCCACCATCCTGCCAGGGCAGAGCTGGCGTGGCACAGCTGGGGAGTGTGGTCACCGCATGCCAAGGCCAAGGGCGTGCCTGGAGCAGGGCCTGGGGTCTGCTAATGGCATCTCTGCAGGGCTGGGATGTACCAGCCAGTTGTCTGTGTTCGAGCACCCATGGCAATTAAAGCTGCGTTCATGGTATGGAACAGGAGCGGGTCTTGGAGCTTTGATGGTGGACTTGGCTTGGGATGGGAGGGATTGGCTTCCCTGAGGTCGTGGCTGCAGCCCCCAGTGTCATCCCTGCTGCCACCAGCGGGGAGCGTGGCTGGTCCCCTGCCACATCGAGTTCTGCATTGAGAACCTCACAGGAAAACAGCAATGATGGTTCAGCAGCACAAAGGAGGGAGCAGGAGGAGCAGAACCAGGAGCCAGCCTGTATCCTCAGGCAGACACAGCCCCAGGGCTGTCCCTGGCTCCTGCTGGTCTTGCTGCCCAGCTTCACACCATCATTCCCAGCAAATACGGAGCTGGGACAGTGGACAGTGACAAAGACCAGCCCCTCGCCTGGAGGGGAGCACGGCCAGGAATAGCACCCACACCTCAGCTTCCCAGCCAGGGCACATCCCTGTGCCGCCCTCGCACCCACTGTGGCCAGGCCCAGCAGCCCGGTCACGGTCACGTCACACAGAGCAATGGCCCCAGCAAAAACCACCAAACTTGTTCCATTTCCGACCCAACCAGCTCCAAACGACTCTGAAAGGGAACACCACCATGTTAACTGTGTGGTGACTGTGGCACTGGCCCCAAGCCCCTGCCAGGCAGGTGGCAACTGCCACACACCTACCTGGGGCTTTGCTTTGCCCACTCAAAACCCACCCAAGCACTGCTGACAAGTGAGAGATCACCCTGAGCACCAGGGGAGCCAGCAACCCCTGCTGTAGCAGCAACATGGTGGGAGAGGGAAGGTTTTTCCAGGTTAGGTGACTAAACAGCAAAGCCTTCCCTTGGTGCTGGGCCAGCCGATGGACTCACGCAGGTTCAGCCAGGACCTTCCTGCTTGCCACCCACTTCCCCAGACCAGGCTTCTGGCTCAACCCTTGGCAGAGGATGAGCCATTAACCACGACACACCAGTCCTGAGATAAACCCTCGTCCTGTGAGATGAAAGGCGCCGCTGTGCTGCCCTGCCAAGCCAAGGAGGAAAAACAGTCCGGGCGAGTCGCTCTGTGTCAGCTCCTGGCCCCAGCAGAGCTGCTGCCACCCGCCCCGGGGACACTTTCTCCAACAAATCAACTTCTTGTGTTCTGAAATGGCTCAAAAATGGCCAAATCAGCCACTGGTCTCCCCCCTCCTATAGGATCTTGTCCCTTCCCAGGAAGCTCTTGGGAGGAACGGTCAGGTCTGAGGTGAATCTGCTCTGGAAGAGACACCCAAGCTCTGCTGGCACCAGCACCTTCCCCAGCTGTCCCAGCCCACTCCCAAGGCCCCAAGAGTCAGGGGAAGAGGCAGGGAGCCCCCCAAACTGCCAAACCCTCTGCCCACCCCCACAGGGGCACAGTCCCCCTCGCCTGCTCTGGCCTCTGCCACAGCACGATCCCGATGCGCGGCTCCATCGTGGACCCTGGCCCGTCAGGAGATCTGCTGCCTGCCCCAAGTCCCTGCGAGGGGAAAGGGCTCCTGGTGGCAGAGGGCGAGAGCACCAGAGCTCTGGTCCTCTCGTGCCTCCAGGCCTGGGGAGCAGGGACATGGCAGGGAGCGACTGCCCGCACCGGTCGCATTCTTGTCATTCTCCAAGCTCCAGCTCCGTCACAGAAACTGAGTCACAAACATACCTGGGTATTTTTCTCTCTCTCCTTTTTTAATCAGCTCTATTTTAAGTAGTTTTGCAATACATTTTTCTCAAAAAATGTTGTTTTCCTGGTAATTACTCAGTCACAAGAGATTTGCTGGTCCTCGCTCTGCTGCACACCCAGTCCTGTGTGGGCCCGGCGGAACAGCCCGCCCAGCTGCGAGGGGGGCAGGACTGCAACACAGAGATGTAAAAAATACAAAACACCGGGCGAGGATGCTTCCAGATGCGATCCTTGGTCACTGTGCAGTGCCCTGCAGGCTGGCAGCAGCTCCCACCAGAGCCCAGAGCTCCCAGCACGTGGGAGGGCTCAGAGAGGCCCGGCCTGCCCGGGGGAGGTGGGATGGCTCGGAGCTTACCCTGTAGCTCTCCTCAAATCATGCATAACGGCTCGCAGAGCTGAAATGTCCATTTATTGACAGCAGTAATAATTTAAGATTATAAAAACCCTTTCAGTGTTGAGTATCAGCGGGCGAGGTTATAAAGAAAAATAAATGGGACTCGAGATGGGACAGGGAAGGATCCCGGGGTCTATTTGAGAGTTCCTGTTTCAGTGAGAGCTACTGGTCCTCCCCAGCTGAAGATCCTGGAGGGGAGGCAGCATCCTTATGCTTCCATTTTAGACTTCAATCTCCAAAGCAGAAAAGATAGTATCCAAGGGGAGAAGGAGCAAAAGAAATAAAAGAAAGGGATCTCAAATTCAAACCCATACAAACAACCTTTCCTTTTGGGATTCAACCACTCGCTCAGCACCTCGGGGTTCCCAGCTGGGAGCGCGGCAGCCTCGCACTGCAACGGGTAAAGTCCACGCACAGAGGATGTTTTTATTGACAGACAGAGCTCTTTCCCCCCTTTTTCATCACAGAACTTGAGGCTTCTCATCTCTGAAGGACCCAGAGTCTCCGTGTCTTCAGAAATCAAAAGAGAATTCTGGGGGCACTGCTCCCCCCTTGTCCCCTCCCCTCGCTCTGCTCTGGAAGCCCCTTTGGCTGCTTGTGGTGGCCAGGGAGGGAGGGGGGACAGTGGAGGGGGCCCCAGGGACAGAGGGTGTGTTAAGATTCATGAGTTGTTCGATGAGTTTTCATTACTTGGTGAGCTGGAGGAAGAGGAGGAGGAGGAGGATGACGAGAAGTTCATCCCTGTGAGTCCTGGGGGGTTTGTGGCAGTGTTTTGTCCACTTAAACTTTTCCGGCAGACGGGACACGTGTCATGCTTTGAGGAGCAGACAAAAACAAAACAAGAAATATGGAAAACTGATTAGAAACACGATATGGGAGCAGCACTCGAGGAACAGGCTGGGATGACACTCCGTCCTCTGATCGAAGGCTGTTCATGGCTCAAGCCTCACAACAGAGGTAGGAAAATATTTACAGAGGGGAGCAGAGGTGCTGCAGGCCCTGGGCACTGCCCCCACACTCACCTGCTCCAGCCATGGGACAATGCAGCCGTCGTGGAACAGGTGATTGCACGGTAACTGCCGCACGTTTTCCCCGACTGTGTAGTCTTCCTTACACACTGGGCACTCCAACCCGGAATCTGCATCGCACAGGGAAAGCCAAGCACAGCTGAGCAATGGAGGAGAGAATGACAGACAAAGCCCCCAGCTCAGGACCCATCACTCCCTCCCCTTCCCCGGCACTGCTCCAACCCTGCCGAGAGGAAAGCTTGGTGCTCTGCAGTCACTCCCCCATCACGCCACCTCCCCCTGCCCCGGGTCTGCCTCATCCTTCCCCTCCCTTCTGCTTTTCCATCTGAACTTCTCACAAGTTTGCCTCCACAGGGCAAATCCATCCAGCCTGCACTGCTCTTTTTTTTTTGTGAGTGTAACAGAGCCACTTCAGCTCTCACCCGTCTTTGAAATGTTTTAGGCCTTGAAGGTACAAGCAGACAGAATTCAAGTCCCAAGAAAACATTACACAGAGCTTCCAGGGAGCTCTCTCTGCATGACTGCCCGGAGCAGACACATACCTACGTGCTCCTGTGTGATCTGTATGGTGGGGAGGGCCTGGATCTTCTCTTTGTCCGCTGGCGGTGGTCCAGTGTTTTCAAACTGATTCAGTAACTGGAAAAACAACCGGCCAGGCAGGCAGAAGGGAGAGGTGAGCTCAGCAGTACAGAGAATCCAGAGAATGTTTCCTGAGCCAGTGTGCTTGGGCCCCGCATCGCCCACACTGCAGCCCCTGGTTCCCATTCCTGCCCTCGCAGTCCCTCACCCCCTGCACCACCACAGGTGCTGCCCCTTCTGCAGCACTGCACAGCAGGATGGAGACTCTGCTAAGTCCCAGTTTTACCTGTGTGATAATCGCATCCAGGCCGTTGGCACCCCAGGCGTAGTCCATCGGATTTGAGTGCAGGACTCCCCTGAAGAGCAAGGACAGCAAGTGAGTTCATCCGGGAGCACCACCGAGACACTGCCAGAGAGAGCAGCACATCCTCCAACTCACCAAGGGCCCAGGCCTAGGTTTGGAATTGTGGTTGGTGCAATAATTCCATTGACCAGCTGCTGGATAATTCTGAAAGACAAGAAAACCAGGATTGTGTAAGAATTAGTCTGCTGGCTCCCAGCCCAGCACCCCGACGTGGAGGGAGAGGCTGAATACTGTCACATTGTCAGGGGAAAGAAAAGATTCCCTGTAGCAATTGCAATTGCAGCTTATAGAGTGATAGGCCATGGATAAAGTTTCAGTATTTGATTCGTAAGGGGACAATTCCTGGCACAAATTGAGTGGCTCCCAGGACGCAGTTACACAAACAGCATCTGGTGCTTTCTGCTGTTTCCCCTCACAGTGAGTACAACGCTTTGGCAACGACCAGGGAATATTTTCCCACTGCAGGACAAAGTCCCAGCCACAGGCCATGCCACTGCTCATGTGAAATAGCCCCGACAGACCCCAGGCAGGAGCATCAGGCCCAGCTGGGGCACAGCTGGCACCCAAGGCAGTGCTGGAGAGCTTTGGGACGCCGCTCCCCAACCCGGGGGAAAAGGCCCAGGCTGACGCTGAGGTCAGTCCCATCAGTGAGGAGCACGATTCTCACCCTTCCAGCGTGGGGACGCCCTCGTG